GGCATAAGAGGCGAATTCTGCGCAGACTGCCGATTTTAAATCCGGTCTGCATCGATTCACTTTATTTTATCTCAAGTCTTTAGAAAAGTGTGCAAAATTTCCCACTTCGCATCTTGGCCGCCTCGATTAGACTTTAAAAAGGAGGGAAAAGAGGGCATTTGCTCTGCATCGAAGATAAGCCAAATTTACCACTTAGCCACTGAACTTCATCATGCCGACTGATGTCTCTGCACTCACAACCCTCTTCAAGAGGTCCGCACTAACATACCACCCCCGGCGTTAGTCCGTGAATACAACAATGATTCGGGGTATTCACAAACCTGTCGTCTATCTGCGGCCTGAAGAACGTTGATTAATCATTCTGGTCTTGTAGTCCCCACTGCAATGAGTGTCTTCCTTTCCAGATTTCGTCCTTCCTGCCAAACTCAGTTAGCTCGAAGTCTAGACTTTGAGCTGAAGAAACCCCATGAACTACAGCACATCGACCACTTTTTTGATGATCGAACGATGTGTTTCTTTTTCACCTTTTCACATAGACGCACATCTAAACACACACAGACACGAAGTTCGTCAGTCATGCTGAGCCGTTTTCTGGCCATGACTTTCAACGTTGGTCGTATTGTAACCTTTAGTCGATGAGCATGGTTGGTTGTATGAAGGCGGCATGTGGAGGGTTGGGACGTTGGGGAAGAAACCTCAGTTCCAGGAAGTTCGAAATCGAGATCTTAAGATGAAAAATCCCTATGAACTACAGCTCGTCGCTTACTCTCGTGATGATTAGACGGTGTGTCTATGTTTCTTCTTCTTCCCCTTACACACACGAACACGTATATAAATACACACAACACGAAGTTCATTAGTCCTGTTGAGCCGTCTTCTGTCCGTGACTTTCCACGTTGGTACTAGTCGCATTGTAACCTTTAGTCGCTAGTATGGTTGGGCTGGATAAAGGCGGTAAGTGGAGTGATGGGAAAGTGAGGAAGAAGCCTCAACTTCAGCCGTCCTACCAACCTCGGGTAGTCCAAACTCAAAACCTTGAACTCAAGAATCTCCATGGGCTACAACTTGTAGATCACCTTAGTGATGATCAAATGATGTTCTTTTTTCTTCTCTCTATCTCTCTCTCTCTCAGACATACTTACTTGAAGCGCTTCAGTCCTATTAAGACTGTCTTATGGTCTTGGTCTTCCACGTTGGTATCATTGAATTGTAACCCATAGTCCATGAGCATGATTGGGTTGGAGAAGAGTGGCAAGTGGATACATGGGAATAGAAAATACGACTCAACTTACGGTCATCGACATAACTGGAGAGGATGGACTGGAGATCGAGTCTTAAGTCAGGTTCCCCAATCCGTTACGGAGACAGTCGACCTGGCAACGCTTTGTGGGGCCTTGGCGAATCGAGTGCAGTGCCACTCTGTCATACGTGAGACGCATCTGCCACTGCCTGTCCGGACCGATTCTAACGAAGCAAGGCGAAACGGAGTGCCAACCGGCACATGTAAACATTGCATGTGTGGGGGAGTACCAACAAATGGTGCTGTTCACGCCTCCAATATGTGCAGTTGAGGGTGGCGGAGACGTCGGTGCACTTGCGTGTCTGCGCCAGAATCCGAGGGTGTGATTAGAAATGCCGATTTCTCTCGTCTTTACCCTCTTTGGTTGTTGGACTGGCAATTGTGTGAGAGAAAGTGTGTGTGTGTGTGTGCATAGAGCGCAGCTTCATTCGTCCTCCCTAGTCGCTCCGGTCGGGTCTGTAGTAACCCCGCCTCGTGTGTGCGAGCCGAGAGTGCTACCAACTGTGTCCGATTCTCCGGTGCCTCCTCTTCCAGCCAGAGTCCGACTGGCCGGGCCGATAAGGCAGTGGAGGCAGGGACGTCTGAGAATGGCGGCCCCTTGTCGTCTCTGGGGCTGGCTTTTTTCCAGGCCAGAAGCGGCGCCAAGAGCCACATCAGATCGACACTAAACTGGGACAGAGCCAATTAAAAACGCTGAAACGAAAGAAAGTCGACGACAGTGTAGATAGTGGCCTTGGCCATTAATCGTCGGCTGATGTCGTACGTATTAGTTGGGACAAGTTGAATCGATCAGCAGAGTTCACCTTAGCGACGATTAATGGTACCCCTCCAATCAAGTGATCCTGTCAGTGGTCCGGGGTGTTCGCCTGACGGGGTCAAACTAACTGGACGTCGAAGCGCTCACCTTCACTCACTACTCTGCACCATGCGCAAGCTCAGGCAAAGTTTCTTTAGAATTCCGGATGATCTAAAGTGACTGGAACACTGGACTGGAACAATCCAAGATTTAAGAATAGTTTTACCTTAAATAAAAAATTATTATTGTGATGGCAAAATACAAGTTTCCATTCGTATAGAATAGGTTATAGAAACTTCCAGTAGAGCTTGAATAAGAGTTGTGTTCATTCTTGGTCGCCGTAAGGTGATGAAAGACTAAAGTAGAATTTTTCCACAAATTGATAAGCATGCTTCAGTCTTTCACTGAATTTCACATTCTAAAATTTATTATCAACACAGACGCTACAACACTGTAATGGGTGCCCCTGGATCACAAAACAGTCCTTTCAAATAACACATTTCTGTAATGAGATTAATAATGAAGCAAGTCTAGGATGAATACAGCTCTACCTACTTAATATGAATATAAGTAGTATGGTCAACTGTAATAGATAATAGTGGTTTTATTTATTAATAATCAAATTAAAAAATGTGATATAAGAAAGGCCTGACTCAGGGTCAGTCGTATCACTGTAGCGTAATGGTAGCATGTCGATAGCATACAGTGCACCACAACCCGGGTTCGATTCCCTTTAGAGAGTGCTGACCAGAAACAAGCGGGATCGAAACAGCAGTCCAGCCCACCATGGATGAGAATGCTTTCTGAACAGCAAGGCTATTTAAAGTTCAGGTAAAATGTAGGCCATACCTATATGATTGTGGAAAAATTCAAATTTCAGCCCTTTATCACATGAGATCCTGAGTGACTGAAGTACTTTCGCAATAGTGGGACCTTGTGGTAAATACCTAGTTTTGCATTGTGTTGTAGTATTCATGCGGCTAAAGGAGACTGTGACCAAATAAAAGGCCATACCATTTCTACGTTCACACAATATAGTTGAATAACTCTGTCTAATTGCATCATTACTGGATATAGTGGTTCTGAATTCGTCTCCCCCTCCTATTTACCTTATAACCGGATTCGAACCTGGGATGTGCACGTCAGGTAACAACACACAACTTCACAGTTAAGCTAAGGCGAGCTTGGATTTTCCATTAAACTAGACAACACTACTATCGAGCTCATCAGTAGATCTTAACTAAGAATTTTTGTCACTTTAGATCGCTCTGGATGATGCAGACGGCTAGATGAATTTATCCTTATTAAATGAGTAGACGGCATGACATCGCTTTTGTCTTCACATACATGGACTCGAAGAGTATCAGCATATGATAGACTAAAGCTCAACCCGTTTTCATCCGGAACGAGGGAGAATGTATCGTGGATTGTGACAACCTGAACGTGATAGCAAAGCCAAACGGCTGCACAACAAAGAGAGTCAATTGTCTGCAGGTGAAGTCTACCTACGGAGCTCTTCAGCATAAAATTCGCCGCAACAGCGCCATTTAATAGCGAGTGGGTCAGCCTCAGAACTATCAATAGATCTTAAGTCATCCTGGATCCTTTGAGGTGATGTGAGGAGATAAGGAATAAAGCAATGCGGACTCGGAGGAGTTTGCCTAGTCGTGAGTCACACCCAGTGATCTCCTTACATTCGCAATTGCATAGCCGAGTTGCGACGTAGTACAACCTTGTTCCGAAAGCTGACACCCAAACAAGGTAAAAAACTACAGTCCAGTCAGGATGGAAATACCCCTTATAAGGTAAGGCTGAGTTACATTCAATGGTATGAGGGCCTTTTAGTGACTTTATCGGGGGAAACTCAACTCCCTGTCCTCAAACGACTTCAGAATAAGTGAGTTTTATGTCGGAAATTGGACACTTTTAATGGATACAAGAGCAGGTTAATTTCGTCATTCTCCTTCTCTTGCATGAATTCTGGCAATTTGTGCCTAAATTATATAGGGCTTAAAAAGTAAGGATAAATATTGTGATGAAGACTATAAGTTTGTTCGAGTAATAAGTAGTAAATCGAATTTACGAATAGCTTTAGAGAGCCCCATGGTATTTAAACGTTGTAAGACGAGAAAACGGGAATATCAGCTCGAAGTGGGTAAACACGTTGCTACAAAACTGGGAAACCATGCAACACCGAGGCGTCCATCTCAGACTGGGGAGCATAAAATAACGAGAAGATGTGTGCAACACACAGGAGTATTCAACTTCGGAAACTGGGAAAGAAAAGCTCTGAAAGTCAAAATTATGAGCGAATTCCTGTCAACCTTCAGGATGAACGACCAAATTGTACCACAGAATGGAAGCGGGAACACCACAACGACATCAATTAAAATCGTTAGGCTTAACACTCCGTGTAAAATGGACATCTCTTTCTGCACAACTTAGGTACTATAACCGCATCATATAAGAGTCCTAGTTACCAAAGGCCACATTAGGCAATGAGACTGATGGTTGACTGCTGGCTCAATCCGATGATTTGGCCTTGTGTTACTAGTGAATTGCACATAGCCTTGCTTCCCTAAATGCATGCACATTCAAGGTGGAATGGGATAAACGAACAAATTGAAACCTTATTCTTCTTCACATCGTCTTGGCCCTTCCGCTTTCCAGTATAAATCGCTATGGTGCTGTTGACGAGACGCGGGAAAGTCGCATTTGCAGGCGGAGTCGAAATACTGCTTTGGGCTTTATTGCAGGGTGAGTTTCGATGCTGGCAGCCTAGCGACAGCACCATAAGATATACTGGTCTATAAATTGCTTCATCAAAGTAGCATGAGTTTTGATACGAATTCAGCAGAAGTATGCCTCAAGGGCTGGCCTTAATTCCAGGCAAACTACAGAAGCTTAACTGGAGTCGGATCAAGGTGTGGACTGAGACAAACACGCTACTTGTCAGACCATAAATCTCCAGCTCTATAGGATTGGAGAACACAGAGGCCAATGTAAACTTATATTCCTACCGGTAGAGATATGTTTGCTCCACTATCCAGCTTAAACTAATCCAATGCCAAGCGCGTGGACTTACAAAAGAGAAGTCGTGCTTCTAATTCACAAGCGAGGCTCCTGAGTAGATAGGTTACACAATCACTAGTTGGAGCTGCATGATGTGAGCTAAGACATGGTACATAATACACATTATCAGAGTAGTGATTTTGATTGTATGGAAAATTCTCGACTTTGATACGCACGGCTACAAAATGAAATGACAGTCACCTGATGTAGGCGGTGAAGGATTGCATGTTTATGCACTACGCAACAAAAGCCTCACAAATCAAGCAGAAAAACTTAGGTACTATTTTTTATTGCGTTAAGATTCTTTTGGAAGGTCGTTAAAAGATTAGTCAGTCGAGTACATAAAAGACTAAAAAACGGCCTTTGGCATGGCCATTAATTGGAACAATTCGTCTCTGGGATATCAGCAACTCTCAAAACTCACTGAAGTCGCCGGCCAAGCATCTGATAATGTACCACGTCCATGGTCCAACGCTTGCAATTATCATAACTGCTATAGCAGAGTACATTGGACAAGATGCGTTCAACTAGGTAGTCCTGACAGCACGACCAAGTTGCGAAGACGAGGCCAAACCACTTCTGACATCGAAAGGAGACTGCGACCAAAACAGAGGCCATATCTCGGCCCTCATATCTACAATTAATTAAAAGAATTCGTCCTTGGAATTGCGATCACGATCATGATCACACGAAGAGTTCGTGGCAGGCCTTGGCCCAATAAATATTTCGAGCGTAAGTGATTACAGCAATGTCACATCGGCATCTAGTCAAGAACGAGGATTAAAGGATTCCTAGTCCCACTTTACAAGAGCCAATAATAAGCCAAGGTCCCCCTTTTTATCGCTTATATCTAGGTTAGGGTCCGCGCTATGACCCATTTTGCGAATCCGCAATCAACTCAGTGGAGGCTTATCCAGAATTCGCTTTTAGACTGCAATTCACATACAGTTATTGTGATCTACAAAATTAAAGTCAAGTCCTACTCATGTAGGAGTGATATTCTGTAGTCAGGTCATCCTCCCTCTTAAAGGCGCTACTTAATAGGGTCATCCACTACTTGCCTGGTTGGTGTGCAAGAGGGGAATAAGACGAGGCTATAATATTACGTACACTCACTTTTCAGCGAAGCTTGACTTATCAAATTCGCCCGACTTTATTTGACTTCTCGACTCTCACTCAATCATTAATTATGCCACCTTTAGTCAGCTGATGTTGGTTGGGTAGTCGGGGCCAAATAAACCATGCTGAATATATTATGAAGTCGCTGACTTAGTGGATTCTCCTACTATTAGCCACCTGTCTCCGAGTCTGTCTGCCAAGGAATGCAAGGAACCTTATCCAAAGTATACTGTGTCCGAAAAATCCACGATCTTCGTAGGTGTAAACGGAGATAAGCGAAACGAAGGAAGAGTGCATCCAGACGATGACTTCCACATTCACCTAATACTCATCTGTCTTGACGAAATATGAGAAAATAATGGATTTTAAATCGGCATACAAATTTTTATTCGATTCAAGTATTTCGATTGAAGTGGAGCTTGCATAAAAAAGCTCTAGAAAGAGTGTTTTATTGATTAATAAAACAAATTCCTTGATCTTAAGAACCAGGAAAAGGTTGATTGGAAGAAT